ATGGCTGATATTTAAAGTTGGTCATTAAGACCGATATAAGTTTTAGCAGCACATTGAATGTGAAAGACAGCTGAACACTCACTGTGTGTAATATAAATTAAATAAGTCAATAAATCTCTTAATATTTATTCAACTTCAAATAAAAAAAATCAAAGCATTTAAAAAATGTTGTGTTGGGGTCCTTCAGGTCCTTTCTTCAGTCTAGTAGTGGCGGCTGTTGACCACGCAGGTGCCTAAATCATTTATTAATTTTTATCGACTTTTAAAAATAATTTCAGCCGATGGCCGATATAGAAAACATCGTATTTATTTGTCCGATGCATCGGCTGGCTGATATCGGTCTGCCTCTGGTCATTTATCCTGGCACCACGAAGGCCTACATCAAGCAAAATAAAAATAAACTTTTTGAGAGGGGGATTAGAAATGCAAGGGGACACAGTGCTGGACATTAAACATGTGTTATGTTTATGTTTATTTATTTGGCAGGCGCTTTTATCCAAAGCAACTTACAATTTATAACCTATGGGGCATGTTGTGATCTGTGGGGAAACCAGAGTACCCGGAGGAAACCCACGCATGCATGGGGAGAACACGGATCTCCACTCAGAAAGGCCGCAGCCGAGTTTAGAACCAGCAACCTTCATGCTGCGAGGCAACAGTGCTAACAGCTCCGCCACCATGCAGCCACCATGTTAGATTTTTAAGCTTTATCTGTCACTCAAAAGCAAGGTTATCACTCTAGCTCACTGGGTTATGCAGCTGCTAATCAACTTTATTTATTATTTGCATATAGAGCTAAAATGCTGGTGTAATGATGAGCTTTCACCAATAAATGAAGCTCAGGTTGATACCAGACATACATGATCCAACTCATCTTCCACAGCTGATTCAACAAGCACAGGTAAATAAGCTTTGCATTCTTTCATCGTTTTATTTCTTCTTTAGCCCCTCCCACATCCTCCTCTACTTCTTCCCACTTTCATTCCAAGTCAGATGCTCGGACACTTTGACTTTGACTAATGGTGAGCCAAGTTCTGCATTAAAAGCCAGGGGCTGCAAGTGGGGCCAGATAAAAGTGGAGCACTGGAACAAGGGATGGGCGGGTTGCAGGGAGGAGAGCAGGACACAGTCACCAATCACTGTCAGCATCATTGTCCCAGGTTGACACTGGGGGACGCGGTTGGAGGGGACAGCGGTGCTTCACTGAGCTGAATCTGGCCACGACACATTGTCTCTGGCAGGCTCTTCACACATAGGTTACAAGGGCACATGTAAACTTGCTGCGGTCCAACTTCTCCTCTTAGATGTGGTCACTGCTGCAGCAGTAAAAAGATCTTTACGTTTCCATTTCAGGTTAAACTTAAATTTTAGCAGTTCTTATGGTGATCGTAGGAAACTTTGCTTCTAAGATAAATAAAAGTTCAGTTGGACCGCCAGAAGGAACAGCAGGTGAACTGAAGAACTTATCTGAGATCAGCTTTGGGGACAACCGGGTGTGTTTTGTCTCTGCACACCTGAACCAAATTGGTACCAGAATCCGCTGCTTTCCACCTCAGCTTCTTTCCTCCCTGCAGGATTTTCTGAGTGGCACACCCCTCCCCTGGGTCTGTCAGGAACAGTGTGCTTGTGGCCGGTAATTGATAATGCGGCCCAGGCAGCCCCAGCCCTGGTCAGTGGAGCGTGAACCAGCCTGAGAAGTAGAGAAGCTGAAGTGCACTGAGGTGAAGCTCAGCCCACACTCTCGCTGTGTGGAGTGTGAGGAAAGAAGGAGGGCTAGAGGTGAAAGTCAAGGCAGGAAGATGGAGCATAATCCATATAAACAGAACCTATTCATTCTTTCACATTAGCATTTTCACATGTTAGAGAATCATCTGACAGAAAGATAATCCCAATCAAAACTGAAGAATAAGCCTGGCTTGCTGCAGGACATGATTTTAATTTAGTCTCAATGAGTGAAAAGGCTAAAGGGTTTTCACCTGATGCACAGACTTGAAGCTCATGCTAAAGTGAAAGATGCAAAGAAACTAAACAACCATTAAGATTTTTATATAATCGCCCAGATGGGTGAAGCTTGAGAGAAGATCAGGTGGAGTTGAGCCTCGACTAAATAGTCAAGTAGCTGAAACGTCCTTCATGTGTCTTTATGTGTAGCCATGGAGACTCATTTGGGATCTAATAAGTCTTGTATGTTTTCAAATTAGTTTGACTAGACAGAGTGATGTCTTTAGAAATTTGTAAGTTTAGAAATTGACATGAACATAATGTTGATTAGGTTGCACCTCCGAACCCTAACCCTATGATTAGGGTTAGGGTTTTCATAGCCTGACCAGCCAGCCCTGTGCCTCCTTATGTTGGTTCCTGATGGGAAGAATGGGTCTGGCAACTCTGCTATTCAAATAACCCCATCCCCTGAGAATTATAGCCAAGTCAGTCAGCGCTGTGCAGCGTCCGTCACTTACACACACCGCAACACTGAGTTTCCCATAAACAATGAAGATGGCGCTTGAAGCAGTTTGCTGCGGCTCTTTCCTCTGTTCTAAATTACTTGAATCTATTTAAAACCACAACAAGTAGAGGCGCTAAAAGCCCTTCTTCTAAAACAAGATGTTTGCACTGTCACCAGAGGCCATTTTTGACTACAGCTAAAAAGCTAGAGTCGCGCGGTACAGTCGGCATTTCCACCTTTTTTCTGATTGGTTATTTTTGAGCTTCCTGTGAGTAATCAGACTAGTTCTCTGTGTAGACTTAAACAGAAGATCATACCCTAAAAAAGATGGTTGGATTTTCTTTAATTTTGTTTCCTTAAAAAGTCCAAAAATTAAAAGCTGGATAACTATGTTGAGCTAGTTTTATATTTTTTGCACATTTACTGCAGAGTTTTACAACAGTTCAAATTTTATTTGAAATTACAAAATTACAACCTTCAGGTGTCAGTGAGAAGCAACGGCTTTAGTATTTAGTTCATTGGTTGAATTTAAAAAATAGTTGTGATCGAATGAAATATGTGGCAGTGATGCAGATGAGTGTGTTTATCTGCATAAAGTGTTTTTTTTTCTCTTTTAATCTGTTTAATTCTGGTTGTATTACTATGACTGCTCTTCTGAGGACATTTTACTTGTTTACCATAAGAACACATATAGCCACAGGTAAAAATACTAAGTCGAGTTCAGACCTAGTTATTTAGTACTGCATTATTGTTTGGGTCAGTCGAGTCAGATCTCTTAAAGAAAACCAGTAAAATTAGCTTAAGTACACTGGTCTTTCCTTAAATTTTAGCCTGGGCTATTTATTTATTTATTTTAACATAAAGAGTACCCAGTGACCCAACTTTTATCCATGTCATCCTGCCATGCCATTGCTTTAGCCTGAGGTTCAGCTTTATTTAATAAACAAAACTTGAATCATCACTGGTGCATCTGCTTGAGGGCCAGTATTTGCATCCTCTGACTAATTGTCCATCCTGTTAAAAAAATAGAAAAAGAATAAAAAGCCCCATTTTGCTGTAGTAATATTGGCTGATGTACCCCACAGACTCAGCCTTGTTCTTTGCTGTGACCTAAATTCAAATAAGCAAAACACAGCGGTGAACACACTTCTCCACAACACCAGACCAACTGTCCCAATCATATGTTCTGAGGAGAGGAGGGCAGAGGTCACATAACAGAGGACACACATGATGGAATTGACATGTGTTTGGGTTAATTAATAGACTCTTTATATGCATTCAAGTGTTTAGAAAATGAGAAATGATGTGCAGCTGAGCTGAAACGTTGTTATTGTGATACTTATTTCACTCCAGAGGTTTTAACTTGACAAATAACACAGCTGGGGTCACGTTGCACATTAACTGCAGAATGTATTTTATATCACTGAGGATCTTATTAAAATTTTATTTAAAAAAAAGCATTATATGCATTTGCTGTTTCTTGTTCACTAGATTATATATTGCTGTAAAAATAATGAATTTAAACATATTTATCTAAATCTATGTTGGCAACTATGTTGGTTGGATTTTAGATCAGTAGATAATTCTATCCTATCATAGCATCCAGTACCAGTTTTAGTAGGTCACCTCGTTGTTCTTTCTTTGGAATACTTGTAAAAGAAGAGAAGCAGGCAGAATGCACACAGCAGCTGGTTTTCTTTGAATTTAGATTGTCGGAGTCTAGGTTTAAGGTTTCCCCTGGCTCTACAGAGGCAGTGTGCGCTAGTTGACCCTCATTTGCATAAATCCACCCAAACCTCAACTTTACGTAAATGAAAAGGAGGCAGAGTGACAACCGGACTCTTGAAATGCAACACAATGCTGTAGCACTGTGGTGCTGCTTATGTAAACAATGAAGATGATGGACACTTTGGACCGGTTATTCTATTACAGCTCATGTATTTAGTCCAGTGGGAAATTTGCTAACTAGAAGACAGACTCAAAATCAAGTCTACATCTATTCCCACCAAACAATCGATGGCACACAAAATTTCTTCTCAGACGTCTGGGGGATAGTCAGTTAAAAAATTAAAAAAAAAAAAACACTGTGCAAAGACCTAGTCTGGACGTTCTACAGACATGGTCTGGACCGACAGTCTCAATATAGACATGATCTGCACATTGCAATAACTTCAGATATAACAATGTATTCACCTACTTATCAACTTACTGTGTATGAGTGATCTTCACATATCATAAAGAATATTCTGGCACTGATCCATAGCTGGCAACATCCATGAAACTCACAGAATGGAGATTGTAATTTTTGCATTGAAAAATGGCCTGCAGTGATCAAATTTGGCCACAAGATGCCATTCTTACTTAATTCTTACATATTGCATTTTTAATACATTTAAGCGTAGCATGTTGAAGTTAAATTCGAATCATTTTTAAAGACTTTATTGTTGACTTGTTTTTTATTCCAGAATTAGCTGACAGGATGTATCTACAAATCACCAATAATTACTGTTTAAGTTAACATACTGATTTGAGTGTCTTTCTCTGTTTCTTGCAGCTCCATCAATAGTTCCCATCATGCACCAAATCAGCTCCACCATGAACAGCTTCACACTATCATGGCCCCAACCAGAACAACCAAATGGCATAATTCTGGATTATGAGCTGCGTTACTATGAGAAGGTAAGCTGTGTTTGCATGCAGCTGAAATCATATTTTGTCTCTGCATGTGCAAAGCAAGCCACGCACCCCCTCTTGGAGTCTCAACTCTTCCAAATTCCTCCTGGAGCAGTCCCCTGGGCTGATGATGTGTTCTGTCCCTGTGTTCCCTCCCTCTCTCCCACTGTTCTTTGGTTTCTGCTGCTGATGAAGTGAATAGGTTGACCTCTGCTCCAGGCTCACTCTGCACAGTGCAGTAACCCTGTCCTGCTGTGAAAATGCATTGCGTCTGGAGGGAGTCGCATCGACCTGTCTCCTCACACACAATACGGTTGCTTTATTAAGTCACCAGTCCTTCCCTTCAGCCACTATACTGCTCCAGTATTGACCTGTAGGCTTTTTCCAAGGCCTTGAACATAATGATACCCAGAGACTGGAGGCCCAAGCTTTTTGTTTGGGCTCTTGTTTGTCCTGCTGAAGGTGATCAATGTTAGTCCTGCAATTCCCTCCTTTTTTTCCACCAGTTTCTGTCATTCTAAGGTGTTTTTGAGATGTGGTCCACCTTCACCTATGTTTTACTTTCCATATAAGATAAAAATCAATATCCCTTCACATTTTTTTCCCCTTTTCTGCTGAGTTATTTACTTCTAGCAAACACATTGTGTCTAAAGCCTCCGGATCAATATTCACAAAGCCACCTTAGAATAGTGTTTGCCACAGTAAACATTTTCTGTCAGAAAGCAGCAATCATGGTTTGAAATTATGTTGCATTTGTAAACTAAGATGTTCAATAATGACTCCACTGCTTGCATTGGTATCCCCCTCTGGCATTGCACAGTTCAGGTGGTTCAAGTTGAATCTGACTGCCATGACCCTGACAAACCTTATCTACCAGACAGCTTAGTGCCATGTAAATACCACTGATAAGGCATCCATTAGCTCATGAATGTCAATGAAATCTAATTCAGTTGGATGTTTATGTAGTGCGTCCTTAAGCAAATAAATGGGTCCAGCATAATTACAACTTAATGAATTTTCAAGGACATGGTTGCTAATTACATTGGGATAATGCAGTTTGCAAGTGAGGTTCTACGACCGTTAATGTGAACTAACATACATGTCCGCCGTTATGTGTTTCCATCCAGAAAAGTCTTATCTGTCTTGAAAGCATTCCACCTTGTGAGACTGAGTAAGACACAGAGAGTGAGGCAGAGTGATTGCTTTGTGGCACAGTGGGCTGTCGAGATGAGATTTCCCCCCTTTGGTGGTCCTCTTTTGACACTGTATTTCGAATCTGACAAGGTTTTTCACAGGTTCTAAACTGTCCTTCAGTCAGCCGTTGCTGTCTGAGATGTCATTGGACATGTGTTTTTACACCTGATTACTCACCAAATTTCTGTCTCTGTGGATGGCTGGGTGAATGGGTGGGTGGATGAACGGACGGATGGATAGATAGACTTTTTTATCTAACTGATGGCTGGATTAATGTTAAGACAGTCACACCGTTATCAGCTCTGGAATTGACTGTTTTAGACGGTGTTTGTCACAGCTGAGCTCTCTCTCTCTCTGTCTCTCTCTCTCTCTCTCTCTCTCTCTCTCTCTCTCTCTCTCATGGTATTGGTGTCAGTCAATTTTTTTTATTATTTATTACAAAACTAATGCTCCTAAATCCCTGCAAATTGGAAAGCCAGATAAAATGAGTAAAAGGCTTGCGGGTGGGAAAAAGAAGAAGAAAAAAAAGTACAATCCCATGCTCTTGCTCCATTTTTCCTCATACCCTTTTTCTTCTGGTTGCTTGAAAATTTGGGGAGAGTGGAAATAACTCACCGTACCAGAGGTCAGGCCCTCCATTAGGCTGGAGCAGAGCAGCCACTGGTTCTGGGTGCTGATAGCTCTGATGGTGTCAGACAAAGGCTGTGTGTGTGTGTGTGTGTGTGTGTGTGTGTGTGTGTGTGTGTGTGTGTGTGTGTGTGTGTGTGTGTGTGTGTGTGTGTGTCAGTGTGTGCATTTGCACCGGTTTCTGTGTGAAAATGCCAGTAGCATGTGCAAGTGTGTCCTTTCTGGTTAACAATAGTAGTGCCATGCTACAATGTGAGAGAATCAGGAGAAAATTCAAAATTTTACAGAGCTTCATCATAGCCAGCAATGCTTCGACCTTTGCACCCTCTGCAGGGAACGTAGGAATGGACCTCGTGTTTTGGGTATTATCAGTACCCCAAACCATCAGCTAGCATGTGATTGTTATTCTTTTTCTCTGTTCATCATTTTATAAAGTCCACAGCTTTTTTATTTTTTATGTATGTGGATGATAGAGAGAAGGTAAGCTTTTTTGAAGTAACCTGTGAAAAGTGTTTTTTTTTTCAGCACTATCTAAATCCCCTATCAAGGGTATTCACATTTCCTCCTTCAGGCTTTCTTCTTCTTTTCCTTTTCAGTAAGTTTCCAGATGAATGCATGCATTCATAGAACAATCTCAAAGGGATGAAGTTATAAAGAACAAACAAACAAACAACAGAAACAGCTTCCCTTTAAATATAATGCACACAGGATGATTGTTCTAAGTTGTATTTCACCAAGCTCATTAGTGTTTTTACTGAAGATTTGCCAAATCACAGTCCCTGAGCCCTAAAGGAGTTTTAATATCACACCGTACTGCCATGCTAATGATTTGCTCTTTTGTTTTTAGAGTTTAAAGCCCACGAGTTGATGGTAATTATTTGCATTTTAATAATTACACTTTGGTCTCTTAGATTTAAATTGCCAGCTTTTTCCTTTTCATTATTTTCTTGCTTTTTGCTTCAGGCAACACATTTTAATCAGAAATATTAACGAGAAGCATTCCTTTAATTAATTCTACTTCACAATAACGTTTCAGCGTTCTCACATAAAATCCTCAGTTATGTGTCTGCCTGCTATTTGCATGCACACAACAGTTTGAGCATGTGAAGAGGACACATGGTATCCCACCATGTCTGTCTTTCTGCCAACTTGCCATGCTGTTCATTTTGGGTGGTTGTTTTTTATTTTTTCTCTCTTTTTTTCTAAGAAACACAAATAGGATCTGGACACACGACAATTACAGTAAAATAAAGTGAAATAAAACTTTTGTATATGTATGTTTTTTTTTCTTTTTTTTCCTTCGGTACAATGGTTCAATATTTGAGAGTGACATAACAAATGTGATTTTGGTTGTCAAAACACACATATACAGTACATTTTAAAGAGGCCCATCACTCAAGACATTTGCAGTGGTCTATAGTAGGAATTAATGCCTTAAGTCATACTCTGGGGAAAAAAGCCTCTGTGCGCCAGTTTCAGCACGGAGAATTTAGTCACTTGGAGCGTGTACTCCATGCGTTTGTGATCTCTAGGTTTGACTATTGTAGCTCCCTCTATGCTGGGTTGGGTCAGACTATTGTGCATAGCTTGCAATTAGTGCAGAACAGTGCTGCTAGGTTTTTTTGATTGGAACTAGGAAAAGGGACCACATTTCTCCAGTGCTGATTTATCTTCACTGGCTCCCAGTCTCATACAGGGCACAGTTAAAAATTCTGCTTTTTGTGTTTAAGTTTTTCCAAGGCAGTGCCCCCACCTACTTAGCGGAGCTCTTTATAAAGCGTGTTCCCTCAAGGTCATTATGGTCAGCTGATCAGAAATTGCGTATTGTCCCTCGCACCCGATTTAAGACTCGTGGTGATCGGGCTTTTCAAGTCCTTGCACCCTCTCTCTGGAACCAGTTCCCACTCACAATCAAACAGTCCCCATCGCTGGCAGCCTTTAAGAGCAGGTTGAAGACTCATTTTTATAGGATGGCTTTCTTGTAAAGCATTTGGTTTCTGTTTTTTTATTTTTTGTTCTTAGCTTTCCTTTAACAAATTAATTTTAATTTTCTTTTATCTAAATTTTATTTCATTGGTATTTTATTGTTCTCACAAATGTCTATGTTCTTATTTTGTTTTCAATGTTTTTATGACTCGCTACTTTTATCTTTGTTACTTTTCTTGTCCAGCACCTTGAGCCCCCTTTGAGGGTGGTGGAAAGCACTATATAAATAAAACTTGATTGATTAATAGTCAGGAGAAAGTAGCTTAAAACAACAGGATTTGGAGTCTTATTTCAATACATTGATTTATCTCCACAAACAGCACAAGCCTGAAGGAGTTCTGCCGTGTGGTGGATATGCTAATGCTAACAGTTAGCTTCTACTAGTTCTTTGTTCTTTGCTGGATGCTAAACCAACGACAGCATCCCCTGTCATGAGTCCAGATGAGTCCATGAATGTTAAGTGACAGTGTGATGTAGATGTGTCAGGTTTTTCAATTCCTAGCGTTTGACTGTCTATTTAATATCAGAAGCTAATGCAGAAGAAAGGAGTAGGAGACTTTTTTCATGTTCAGCCTACATTTTTAATTCAGAGTGACTGATCGTTTTCCAAAGTAACGAGCTAACAACTGTTTCTCAGTCAGTGTGTTTACATGCCCATCAGAAAACTGAAGCAAAAAAGTCACATCAGGTTTTTTTTTTTGTTTTTTGGCACGTGAATGTTTTATTTTAGCTGAAAGCGAACATGTCCTAATCGAGATGAAGCACCCAGATAATGTAGCAATTCATTTTCATTCTGCATCTAAACTGGTTCGCCAAACTAAAGCGGTAGGATGCTCGTGTTCTGGAAGTGACGACATCTCAGAAGCGGTCTTCTGACAAGACCATCGTCACAAAGCAACACAGGTACCACCACAACACACGACAGTACGTACTAAACAAGCTGTGCTGCGTTGTTGTTGTATATTCCTTCAGCCATTGTGTATATCCTGTTCCGTCTGCTTCACTCCAGCCAGCCTCTGTTTACTGCTTGTGTTGCTATAAGCTGACCGGAAGAATGCCAACATAAAAAGGGGCATGTTGCCACCTACTGTACCAGAGTGGAACAAACTTTATTTGAGACCGGTTTTCTAATCGCACATGTAAGCTAGTAAAAAGACTCCCAGCTTATTACAACAAATTCGACTTGGATCGACTTAGAT